AGCGCACCAACTTTTTTATGTCGTTCATAAAAAAAGAACGGGTAGAAGTCTGATGTCATTGTTCATCTTGATCATCTTCGTCATGTCTTCCAAGTTATGCAAAAGTATAAGCTCTACGCTAGCTTGAAAAGTTCATTTTCTTTGCACCTGATATTGTCGTTCTCGTAATACAAGCGCCATTTGTGTGGGCAAAATTGGCGTTCGTATAGATACGGAAAAACTCAAAACTATCAATGATTGGCCTGTGTCAAACGATGTGAAACATGTTGGGAGTTAAGAGAGTTGTTTCGTATCCGTGTCGCCACAACTCTGGCTCGAGAAACGGAACTATATAACTCGTGACAAATCGTTTCTAGCAATGAAGTATGTTCCGGTCAAATTACTTGTGTGCTTGCTTGAAAAAAAGCGATTAGCGATCTATACAGATCATGCCTCGCTGCGTTCGGCAGAAAAGACACCACATTTATCGTAGATAATGGCTCATATATATAGTTTTCCTTCTTTGCGGAGTACAAGTTTGTTGTACAATACGAGCTAAGCAAGACGAATATCTTGGCTGATGCGTTGTTATCATATCCGAATTTAGATTTGAGGTCCAGGAGCGAAAACATGCGCGAGTTATTTCGACATTGCGAAGATGTTCGGACGATCAGAGTGCAAGCTATGACTACAGAGGGCGAAGGAATTGTCGAAGGATACAAGTCTAGGGAGACATGTCAGGACTTGTTGAGGTATTTTAATGACCCTTCCAACAAAACTTCCGTATTCACAAGATCGCGAATTCACCGTTTGAAAGTACACGACGAATTTTTATACTATGCGGTTGAACAGGGGGGTACAGCAAGAGTTAGTAATTTGATGCATACTCTCTCAATGGACGAAGAAGATTCGTGACGATTCTGTTGAGAGCAGCGGGGGCGTTCTTCAGACCTTGTGGCATCCCTAACTATTCCTACATCATACCACTGGGGGTACTGACTGCAGTTAGTGGTTTATCACTTTCGTACACTCGTATCTGATAATGCCATCATATAGATTGGTTGCACAGAAATAGTATTGTCGACCATTTCATCAAGATCCTAGCGTGGAACCGGAGCCTGGGTAGGTATGGTCGCATCGTTCATTTTTTTAAAGCATGAAGAAGGGACCAAAAGCCTGCATCTTTCATCACACAGAAGTTTGGACTACAACGCGGAGACTTGCCCTCACGCACATGACCAGCCTTCTGTCACTTTACTAAGAATTTGTCAACTGCAATGACTTATTGTTTCGGCCACGACCAGTGCCGTGTGATACAATACTCCACACCAGGAAGTATGTCAGTCTCATGACGAAAGCCTGTGTCAGTTAGCAATTCGTCGGGCAATCGGTCCGGAAGTATATCAGCGCATTCCTTGACATATCCATACACGGGAGTTTTCCTTAACGTATCCCACGACTGCTCATCCAACTCTTCTCATCAAATACTTCCGAGTTTGTCGATTACTGCTTCGATATTCTCACATATTTGTGGAAACTCGTCTTCTTACTCATCAGTAGCAAAGATAACAAATCTTTGACTGAGCTTGGAAATTTCAATCTTCACGTGATGATTAACATCGACGTTACCTTCTTTGTTGTTAGCCACGATGTTTACAAACTCGCCCAAGGTGTCTTGTTCTAGATCGTTTCTCCATCAGAACATTTTGTACCTTGATTAGAGGCTCGCAAAATACTTGACGGAAAATAATTCTGGAGGCCTTCTCATTCTTTCTACCGGTATCGGTCTTTGCCTCTGATCCCACAATTCTTTATACTATCATTGCCCATGACTTCTATGTCGATGGCATAATAGACAGTCTTTTTCAGGCGCAAAACTGGTCCACCCCCAGTTGGCGTCGTCACTTTCGTCTCCTTAAGCTTGTTCTGTAAACATGGGAGGCATTGCACACAAGAATATCACTTGGGACACCTCGGATATCTTCAGCAGATGCATACGCCCATATCATTACGTCCGTCGTCATGCAGCTTAAATAAGCACTATACGGCTTTTTGACGACGATCATCATTTTTCGTCCAGTCCATGCTGATAGCGCTTTACCCATGGCATACCTCGGATGATCAGACTTATCATCGTGGTCGAGAAGGCCAAACTCTAGTTACATGCACAGCGTGCTCGCTACTTGGTATCGAGCATTGTCGACGAGCCAATTGACGTTTCAGCGCAAGTTGTAAAGTTCATGGCGAGTTTGAATGA